ATGCATGTTTCTAAAGGAAAGATTTTATTTCGAAGAAATATATTAAATAAAAACAGTAACTAAATTATGTATTTTGATTAACTACTTTTATAAAAATATATCTAGAACTAGATAAGATAGAGACACAACATTTTATATCTAGTTTAACAATTCTGCTATGCCGAACAGCAGAATTGATGATATCAACCTAATCATTGGTCTTCTGATTTTCCAGTTACTTGGAATTACACATCAGAAATGCCTCAGAAATTAGTTCGGCAGAAATCTTGAAAAAAAAATATTCAGATATCTCTAACATAATATTTATCACACTTGTCACTAATACTCTTGATTTTTGGTGAGGAATTTCTTAAATTTATCACATCATTAGGGAGAAAATTAAGCCAAATAGGTGACGATCACAAAGACACCCTCTATTTTAAATAAGCCATTACAATAGCTATTGCCTCTTTCCTAATTTAATTATTTTAATAGATATATGCGCTATATTATTGCAATCGTTATTTATTCTTATATTTGTTATGTTCAGGGTTGGGCAAACTTTCAGAAAATTGTATTAGAATACAGATACTTTATAAAATTCTGTATTTAAGATACAAGTTACTAGATACTTTAGAAAAATTTCAATAAGATACAAGATACTTGTATCTATAAAAAAAAGAGTATCTAAGATACAAGATACTTCTTTAAATAGTCAAAATCTATATGTATAAAGCTTTATTTTCTTATCTATAATATAAATTTATAAAAAAAATTTAAAATAAATTGTAGAAAATAACAAATTTATTATATAAGATAATCCGATATTTTTTTTAATAATTGTATAATTAGTAAATAATAATAAAAATATTATTAATTATTCAAATAATTTATCGTTCAATCTTTGACGATTTCGTCTAGTAACCATATTAGCAAAGCTAAATAATCGTTCAACGGTGGCAGAGGAGGGTAATATTGTGTTATATTTAATAAATATATATTTATAACTATTTAACATATTTATACTGTGCCTGTCATCATTCATATAATTTAGGACCTCTAAATCAATATTGAATTATTAGAATTGGATGTGGTACTTTTAAAACAAAAGTAATCATCATCTTCTTCAATTGAAGATTTTGTTGACGTATTAATTTCAATATTATTTTTAAAAATAATTAAAGCTTCATGTATTAACAAATCCTGAAGGTATTTTTTTTCTTTTTCACCATCAATCCAACGATTTTTAAATAGGGATGAGAAATAGTTGCCAAAAATGCGCTTTTAAAGTTATTATCAAAATCATATATATTTTTAAATCATTTATTTAAAGAATTTTCTACGGCAATAGCTAATGGTTTGCAAAAATGTAGATCAATTTGAATTAAATTTGTAATTTTTTTTAACGACATTTAATATTGGAGCTGATTCTCCATAATAGCAGTTGATTTCACTTTGTATTTTGTCAATCGCTATAGCCAATGGGGACATTATATTGCAATATTCATCAAAATATTGAATTTCAATATCTCTTAAATTTGGAAATTCTAGTTTTTGACATAATTTAGGAAGTTCGCCTTTAAATTTTAATAAACTACTAAGACTATCAAACATACTATTCCATCTTGTGCAGCAAGGTGTAACTAATTGTTTTCCTAAAACTGCTTTGATAAGTTCTGCAGTTTTAGGCCTATTACTAGCATTCCATAGCTTAGTACATTTGGCTATTGCGGGATGATGAATTTTAAAATTGTTAGGAGAATCCTTAATAGCTTTCTCGACATCTGTTGTGGCAATAAGACTTATCGTATGGCACAGACAACGAATGTGGGAATATGAAATGATAATGAATATGATTATAAATGTGGTTTATAATATAATTATATATTATACTTTTATATGCTTGACAAAATTTGATGACGCTGCAGAACCACTTATAGATTTGTGGCATTCTTTAATATCTTCAGTAATTTTATGATCATGTTGAAGTACTTGAAAAAATTTCCCATTTAAAATACTTAATTTAAATTTATAGTTATATTTTTCGGTTGGAGAATTATCTGAAGATGAATATAAACATATTATTCTATTTTCATCTTCCATTATTTTAAAATAGACGGATATAATACGATTCAAATAAAATATGGTAGTTCTAATTGTTAGCAAATTGCTATATGACGACCAACGTCATATATCATAAATTATCTTAAAATATCTAAATTCTGATTAAATTTTTCATTTAAATTTTAAAACAATATCATTTTAAATTTTAATACTATTTAAATTAACTAATATAAAAAAGTATTTGTATCTGTTTGAATACAAAGTTGGTTAAGATACAAATACTTTTATATAATATGTATCTTAGATACTGGATACAAGATACTTTCCAAAATTTAAAAAAGATACAAGATACACAAATATCCGCGATACTGCCCAACCCTGGTTATGTTAAAAATCTAGATTTGTTTTTAAATTTACTTTTTGATCCCCCACTTTACTATTAATCCACATCTGTTATTGTTTTATATTACGTTTAAATTTCGGATGCTCCCCATAAGCGAACAATTTTTTTAAAGAATTAAATTTAAAAAAAATTGAGAATCACTCTTATTTACGCCAAAATTATCAAAAAATTAATTTCGCGCAGAAACGAGTTAATTTCACACTTCTCTAAATTTAAGAACTTAATTTTCTCCCAAAACGAAGCTCCTGTTACTCAATTTTACACTCCATGATTCTCACTCGTTAAAGGAATAATTTTCATTTTGTATTGAACAATATTACATTTTAATTTTTTTAATACTTAAAATAGACTGAGTAGTTAATTTTATCGTTAATTATATGATATGTGCAGTATCGCAGATATTTGTATCTAAGATAAAAGATATTTTTGTATTTTGTATCTTTTTAAAATTTTAGAAAATATCTTATATCTAAGATATAAATTGTTTAAAAATATCTGTGTCTTAATCAACTTTGTTTTCATAATGATACAGATACTTTTAAAAAAAATTCATATTAATTTAAATTTTTTGATTCGCTTTACACCCATCATTGCAATAATGCAGGAATAGGCTAAAACTGCAGAGATTATCAAAAAAGTTTTAGGAAAACATTTAGTTATACCATGTTGTACGAGATCATAAATCACAATGCGAAACTAACTGCTATTATTGAGAATCAGCTCCAATATTAAATGTCGTTAAAAAATCACAAATTTAATTCAAACTGATATGCGTTTTTGCAAACCATTAGCTATTGCAGTATAAAACTATAAATAAAGTATTAAAAAAATATATATAAATCTGATAATAACTTTAAAACCACATTTTGGTCACTGTTCCTCATTTCTACTTTAAAAATCGTTGGTTTTATGATGAAAAAGAAAAAAATACTTTCAGAATTTATTAATACACGAATTTTTAAAAATAATATTGAAATTAATATGTCATCAAATTCTTCAATTGATGTGGATGATTATTAGATTACTTTTATTTTAAAAAAAACCACAGCCAATTCAAATAATTCAGTAAATGATATTGAATTAGAGGTCTTAAAATATATGAAAGATGACAGGCGCAGTATAAATATGCTAAATAGTTATAAATATATGAAAGAATTATTTATTAAATTTAATACAATATTACTATCTTCTGCCCCTGTTGAACGATTATTCAGCTTTGCTTATATTGTCAGTAGACCAAATCGTCCGAAACGACAAATTGTTTGGAAATTTAATAATATTAAAAAATAATGCTGATTTATAATGTTAATTTATTGATATTTACTAATTAATTTATTGATATTGTTTTCATTATTATAATATACAATTATTAAAAATATATCCTTATATCGCATTATTTTATATAACAAATTTGTCATTTTCTACAATTTATTTTCATATTTTTTATAAATATTTATTATAGCATATTTTATTTGAAAAATAAAGCTAGATACATTTTGATTTTGATTAAAGTTTTAAAAGATTTCTTGTATCTTAGAAACTTTTTAAAAACAAGATATAAGTACTTGTATCTTTTATTTTATTGAAATTTTTAAGTATCTTGTATCCTAAATGCTAAATTTAAAGTATCTGTATCCGAATACAATTTTTTGAAAATTAAAAACATTATCCTTTTTCTTTGTAACTGTTTACTTATATTAATATAAAAAATCATCGTAAATTTGCATTACGAAGCAATAAATTATTTATACTTTTAACCCACCCAACACATAATTTAAATTTTTTTTACCCATCCGGATATTTATTTAAACAATTTGTTTAGCTAATGCTCCCAATTTTTAAATATAATTTAATTAGTTAGTTTGACTCTTTATTTATTTCTTTAAATTTATAAAATATATTAATAACGGTATTGTTAGTTCAAACTAGGCCTTTTATTAATTCATTTTATTATGATAGTATAACTATATAAAACTTAAAATATATTCTAAAAAATTCAGTTAGATTTTTTGAAACAGTCGAATTATTTATTATTCGTATAGAATTTATTATTATTTGCTTTTTTTGAGAGCATTTTTTGAACTTTAATATTGAGTTAAGTTTTGCTAAAATAAAAAGGCAACTCTTTGGACTTAGCTTAAATTTTATTCCAGCCTGACCTGTCTGGAACCTACATATACACATCGCTTTATAGGAAATTGCACGCCTGTTATTTTATTTCTAGAGTAACTAATAGCATTACTTATAACTAGTTAAAAAGCCATATTTAGGTCGATTTTTAAACGGCCCGATTAGGATTTTAGCCAAAATAATATTATGTAAGCCTCGAGATTGTCAAATACTCTTTCTGCCATTTATGAGCAAAATCTACAGGCTTACATAATATTGTTTTGGTTGAAACCTTAATCTGGACGATTTTAAAAATCGACTCAATGGGCTATTTAAAAACTCTAATAAAAGTAATTAAAATTTTATACATCAAATTTTGATCCGATCATTCTAAAAAGTGTATATTTGACTAATTGGTTGTAAAAATTAAAAAAATAAATAAAAGGCGGTAATTAATAGCACAGCCATGTCAATGTTTCCAGCGTTGTTGAAAAACAAAAGTAAAAGTATAATCAAAGAAACAGCTTGGACTTTGTCTAATATTGCGGCCGGAAATAAAGATCAAATTGAACAAATATTTAATATGCAACTGGTTCAACCCATGATTGACATTATGAATAAAGTATTTTCTTTTTTTTTGAATATATGTATTATGAATTATAAATTTTATCGAGCTTCAGTCCTTTTATTTTGATATGATATAATAAACATTTTGCAGGGCAGTGGATTCATATGCCAAAGAGAAGCAGCTTGGGTGATAGCTAATATTGGAATCAGTGGTCATAACGAGTTTCTTTTCAAGTTAATCGAGATGAAAGAAAGTCTTATGCCAGCTATTTCCTCATTTTTCACACTCAACAACGACCCCAAACTTGTTTATGCGTTACTGCAGACCACCTCGTTTATGCTCAAAGTAAATATATTTAAAAAAATATAATTTGTGATTATATACATAAAAAGGCGTCAGAAGGGATTAATAAATTGGAAGAACTTTTGATAACGATAGAAAGTTGTGAAGGCTTGGATAAATTAGAGCAACTACAAAGTCATCCTAATAAATCCGTCTACGAAATATCTTGTCAAATCATTGAAAACTATTTTGGAGTTGAGGTTTATTGAATTTTCTTAAGCTTTTATTAACTTGTCAGTACTCTCGTGAAAAAATAACATGAACACTCCTGTCGGTTTCAAATGTATATATCCCCATTTCTATATCAAACCTTAAACTTTATAAAATATTTATTAATTTTAATTTATCGTTTAGATAAAATGTCGCAAATAGTTATAATTTATGCCAAAATTTTCTAAAAAGGTAAATAAAATTCAACCATAAATTTTAATTACAAAAAATTTATTGGATATAAGCCAAGACATTTCATAAAATTAATATTTATTTTTAAAAATAAAATGAAAATTAAAAAATTCCCTATATTAACTAAAACTTATTGTAAACACTTGTGCGATTTGACAGACCTAAATCCGTCACAAATGAATCAATCTAAAGTATATTATATATAAGAGACCTACAGAAATATCATTTGCATAGCCTGATTTTTTTAAAAATTTTTGGCCTGGCCGGGTTTTATATTTTCAGACACGGCTGGGCCTGGTTTTTTAAAAATATATTTATTTTTAATTTTTATAGATAATGGCGATTTAAAATATTTGGTAAAAAATTTTTGCCCAGGTATTTTTTTTAAAAAACCAGCCCATGTACTGGGCCTGGTCTCTGATATATTATAAGATGAAGATTTTAGATTATAATAAATAACCATTTTCAAGTATTAATTTTAGCAATATTCATGCATAAGTAAGATTATTTATTAGGGGCAATTCATCTATTTTGTGATTACATTTGATTATCCAATTTTTAAATCCATTGATTAATGTATATTATTAATTTTTGTGTTTCAATGGTAGTTGAAGATTTTTTTGTAAAAATATAATAAATTGTATCAATCTCATTGTATTTTTCAACATTTAGGAAGAAGAAGATGACCTGAATCAAGCTGACAAAACTGAATTTTGTTTTGACATTCCATCAACATCCTATCAAATTCCTTCCAGCAATTCGACTCAACCAGGATTTTTATTTTGAGATTATTAGATTGATTATATGTATAGATTGAATGTAGTAATATTTTTTACAAAAAAATATGTGATATATTTTTTATGATTTATTTTTTTTAAACTCCAATATTTTTTAGATTTTAATACTGTTTCTAAATAGTTAGATACAAATATAATTATATCATAATTTTTTATTTACTTTGATTATTAATTTTATTTTCCAAAGAATATATAAATTAAATGAATATCGATATTGATAATGTGAAGCATATTTTGCATTGAAGATAATATTTATTAACTAAACACTGTTTAATACTATATTCGGCGGAATTATATTTTAAAATATATATACTTTGTTGTAAAATATTTTGACGATATTTTAAAATAAATTCATCAAAATGAATCTTATCCTGTTTATGAAATAAAAATATATTGATAATTCGGTGTTTTATTATTTCAATGCTAAACTATAATAATAATTATAAAGCAACTTAAAAAAAATTGATAGCATCTTTCTTTGATTTAATAATTGCCCTTATTATTTGAAACACCAATTATTCTTTAATAATCACTAATTCTTAAGCTTGTATATATTATGGATGTGATAAAAATGATTATGATATATTACGAATTTGCTTAAAAATTGTTTTAACTACTCTGCTTAATTAATGCTTATATGAACCAGAATTTGTCATTATAAAACGCGTAAAGACATGGTCAGTTATGCTCTGTCAGTTATTATAATGTGAATAAATAGATTATATCAATATGTCATGTCATATTTGAATTTATAACTAGTGTAGTAGATAACATTTTGTATTGATATACATTATATATGCCGTAGGAGTTTTGCAAATCAAGATTTTAGTTTCAATTATTTGTAGCGTGCATTTTTTTAATTTTGAAAGATTAATTATATTAGAATCGTGTCCTAACATGTGTAAAAAGTTCATACTCTATAAATACAATGACGTATTGTTTTATCGACTGACGATTTATTCATTTAATTGTGCATCAATACAAATGCGCTGGCACATGTTATTTTGGTTTCCCATAATATATAAAAAAATTTTATTCATAACTATTTTTCTAAAGTATAATTTAAATAAAAAAATTACATGGGAAATTAAATGGCTTATCTCAAGCTGATTTTAGACAGCGTCGCATATTGCATTATCCTTTTCTAAGGTTTGCAAAATAATCAGAGGCTAAGCATGAATAGTGGATTATATTGCTTATGGTGACGAATTCGACAAGCTTCAAAATTACTGTCGACTATCCTTTAGTCAGATCTTAGTTGAATAGGCAATATAATCGGCATCGACTAACAGATAGTTATTGGCTGCTTTGCACACCGAGTGTAGTGATATAGTCGAGAATCTAAAATAAAAAGGTATTTTATTTTCGTTTTGAATGCTATCAATTAGACAGGTCTGCATAATTCTATCTAAAGAAATTATAAATTGGCCTATTTTTAATCTTATATTTTTTTATGGCATATTTTAAAATAAAAGTTTTATCTCTGAATCGAGGCACCTTTTAAATATTATTGTCAACATGTTCTTATGACTTAATTTTTACAATATAATACAATAAATATGGTTCATTGGCAAAATGAAACTGAAGAATTTGATTAAGATAATATCCATATTTATTTTCTTTAAAAGTTTATTGATTAATCTTAACCTACCTAATAGAAAATTTTATTTAAAATTCAAAAGATTTTTTTAAAACAGGCTATTTCTTGCCTGTAGTGTTTTCAAATTTCCTCGTCCTAATATCGAAAAAATTAGCTGATCATTGATGCAAGAGAATATTTTTTTTCAAGATTTGGTATATTGCAAGTCGAACTTACAATTTATTGCATTCTTATTACTTACTACAGTTGTCGCTTTTCCCTAAAAAATATTCAAATTGTTAAGTTTTGCCTTAACGTTTTTTTACAAGAAATAAATAGAATAACTTCCTTTATTTAAAAATCTTGAAAATCAAAATTGATTATCTAATTTTTTTCAACTTTTATATGACTAAATAAATAAAATCAAAAATAATTTCAGTAATTATAAGATAAATATAAATAACATAATTCATCTTCTCCGGTGCCAGTTTATCATGGCCGGCTGCCAGGGGCGTCGCTAGCCTTTACAATCTCAGGGGGCTCAACTAAAAAAATTTGTGGGGGGCAGAGCCTTCCATACCTCCTAATTTCAGGGCCTTCGGCCGGGTTTTATATTAATATGTTATGCTTTTTTTAAATTGGTTAACTGAACAATTACTCTGATTTTCATATTTTATCATTTATTATATTATGCATACAAAATAAACTAGAATATAAATAAAAACAATACAAGATACTTCTAAAATAATATTATTTAATACAGAATTTATGTCGCACCACCTCGAGTTGATATATTATATCTTAAAATAATAATAGTTTGTGTTAATATCAAAAATATACTCGTATTAAAAATTTAACTTTAAACTGTAGTTTTCCCCATAAACACGTAAAAAAAGAGAAGAAAATATATCTAATTTATTACATCCATTATGGAATGAATAATATTCTTAATAATTTTTAAATACAAATAGATGGCGTTAAAGAATTGAATTCTTAATGTTACTTATATATATTAAAAATGCATATATTAGTAAAATTTATTAAAATATTAATTGTACAATATTATATAACTGTCAAATAGGTCTGTAAAAGTGGCAGTTTACCAAATTTTATAACCAATTATATATATAACTATATGTCTACTTTTTTGTAAAGAAAACTCTTATACTTATTTGGACCTTGAAAATATTTTTAGGGAAAGGCATGGTAATTAAATTCAAAAATGAATAATATAGTGTTGATTAGTGATTTTGAACTCGGCTAATTACAATAATAAATTTGTTATTTTTAAATTAATAAATGATTATATTTATTTAATTAGAGTTATATAATTATTTAAATAATAAAAGTCAATTAAGCTTCAACTGTTAATGCTAAATTAATATTTAGTGAGGGATATTGATATTCTATTTTTAACACAGAATTTGATTGCAGCTTACATAGTGAAAATATAATTTATATGTATTAATCTAACCTAATAATTAAAATAGTATTCATTTAATAAAAATATAGATAGTATTATTAATTTTTAATAAACAAAATGAAATCTATATATTACGTAATAGAATTATAAAAGAAATCGTTCAGAGGGCAATAAAACAATTTATTTTTAGTTCAAGGGGATATTAAGGAGCCATTAAAAAATTCTTTTACTTCAGGGGGCTATTCAAATTTTTCAGGGGGATCGAGCCCCTGCGAGCGCCTTCCCAGGGACGTTACTATCGGCTGCTTATTGTTATCTTTATAAACCAATTATAATATACGTTCAAAATAATAAAATTATTAAACGGCTCATAAAAAATAGAGATATGATGATTCTATACATCACGCAATGACATATATATATGTCATTGACATCACAACACGATTAACGAAGGGTAACTCGATCGAAGTTAAGATGATAATTTTCGCTTAAAAATTTCGTTTAGTCTTTTCTTGCTCAAAACCTGCAGAAACTGGTAAAAATTTATCAGAACTATTTTCTGGTGGTTAAACTCATTTTTTAAAATAAAGCAAAGATGGCCATGAAATGAAGGAATTTCTATAGGGGTTACAATTTTTTTAAAAGAAAATTTGATGTTAAAAATTATGGGTCATGACTATTTTATATAATATTCCAATGAATCGAGATATCCGCTGCCCTCTTGGAGTTGGCTCTGTTGAGAAATAAAATATAAATATCAAAACCATTAATCAGAATCAATTGTTTGAATTTTCTTGTCCAACTAGTATCTTTTTTAAAATTAGTTTTATTTTATTTGATTGATATTTTCAAAAATTTTTTTCTTACCCTTTTTTAATCTGCAAAATTTTCTCCAATATCCATAAAAATTGAAAAATAAAACTTTTTGATTCTCTATCTTCCAAGTAGCTTCAAAAAAAAAATTCTAGTTTTGACAATTTTAATATTTATAATAATATTCCAAGATTTATTATAATTATTGGCAAGAGAAAGAGATCATCTTTATGAATATTCAAAATGGCATATCATGTTTTCGAAAATATCTGACTGACATTATAATTATCCATCAATTAAAACTAATAAATATTTTATTCTTTTTTCTATTTGCTTCCATTTTTTGAACTAATTATGGCTACAATTGCAATAATGGAATCAGTAATTGAAGAAAAAGTACCAGAAAAGCCTGTTGATAGAACAAAGGCATTTTTTATTAATATACCAAATATATTTATTTAAAATTAGACATGTCCATTTCTTTTAAGAGTATTTTGCAGCAACAATCGACATCATTTATTAAATGAATATGCACGAGGAAATGTTCCTTCGAATGAATTACAAATATATACTTGGTAAGACCTAAATAATATGTTATATATAAATATTAAATAAAATTTACCTACCATGTTTTATTTTTTTTAGAGCTATGCCAATATTTTTGTCAATTTTAAAATACCTGGTTTAATCATCATATTTAGACCGATTTTTAATATGGTAATATCTTGATATAACATCCTAACTTAAAAAATATTAGTATATATACGCATTACATGCTGTTAAATATTTTCTTCACAATCAGATTGCATAGATAAAAAATATAAATATTTTTTTCAGAATCAGTTCTCTAATTTACATACAAAACTTGATTATTATAAATTTAATTTGGAATATACTTTATTTGACATTTATAACATATAAGTAAACCCCCCAACCCAAATAAATAATAAGACAAACTTCAATAGAAGGGGATTGACTAGTTCCCACACAAATAGTCAAAATATTTAAACATAATTTATAACACCATAAGTAATATAGTGAATGGTGGCCTTTATTGCTTATTAATCTAGTACAGTCAACATGGCTAGATGATATCCTTCTGGTTATGTTAGTCACTTATCTTATTAGTGACTTGCTGAATAAATTTTTTGCCATAATTATTTTAACTTATTACTTCCATAAATATTAATATTTTAATATTTTTGAAGGTTACTAATTATTAATAAGGATGTTAGTCACTTATCTTACTAGAAACTTTTACTTATTACTAGAATAAATATCTGAATAAATAATATTTTTTAAGGTTTCTAATGATTAATAAGGATATGTTATATCTTACTAGGGACTCATCCTAACCTTTATTTTGTTAAAACTTTATAGAATATTTTTAAATTACATTAATACATTTTAATATACAATTTAGAAAAATATAAAAAAATAGTAATATATTTATTATATTATCTAAAT